CAAAGGGGTCGTTACCCACTGGTTGTGAACCACTGCCCTAAGAAATCCCCGACTGAGTCCACAATCCTACAAAGCCTTTTCTTCCCTTCCTACCCTTTTAGTTGACTGGAATCCACGTTTATTTCACATTCACATGCCAAATGAACAGGAAACAAACAACCCTGGGTATACTTTCTGGATGCTTGGGCAACACTTAGTCAGCTTCTGTTTTTCCCTGCTGCCTCTTCCTCCCCCTTCCCCTCCCCGCTCCTGTTAAACAGGGTGTTCCCAGACTTGTTTACCAGCGCTGGAGCCCCGGCTCGCGAGGGTATGTGCAGGTAGTGCCCTCTGCTGGAACCTTTGTGAATTACCAACCTTCCCCAAAGTTGTGCCTTCAAAGGACCAAACCGACTACCATCTAGTAGACTCGAACTCGTAGAAACTCCCAGGACAGAGTAGAACAGCTTCCTAGGGTTTCCAGAGCTGTAAATCTTTACAGAAGAAGAGAAACCCCATGCCGCCCCCACCCCCCCGCCCCCCCCAAGGAAGGGCTGGTAAATTGGAACCACTGACTTTGGTTAACAGCCCAACACCAGGGCTCTTTAGACTGTGAATTAAGTGAAGGTTTATGGAACAGATCGCCAGTTATACATCCAATGGGTTCATAGGCATTTTGCTTCAATTCCTCTATTGCAGCTCTCAGTGTCCCGCTGCTTAGCTGCTTATCCTACCTCTTCCCAGCTTCCCATTTGCATCCTCCTCCTCTCCTAACCCCTCGTGTCTTCTCCTTGAGCAAATGCTCTCCTTCCCATCGCAGTGCTTTATTTTTCGGAAGGGTGACTAAGGGCCAGCCATCCTCTTGGGGGTTCATTCCACCGGTCTCTAGCTGACCAGTAAGCCTGGCCCCTTCTCTTTTGTGAGTTTCTTCTGCTGGACCAGGGCCTGCTAATGTGGTCCCTTTCAGAGTGGCCGGTATAGAGCGCCGGGCACCATCTGGTTCTTCCGGTCTCAGGGTGTGGAGGCTGATGTTGGTGTGGTCCCTTAGTCCATTGGGCTCATTGTTCCCAGATTGCCTTTTGATTTCCTACACTCTTCTTCTAGACAGGATGGGATGAATAGTTCCACCTTAGAAGAGATTTCAAGATCCTGTTCCCTAGTCACTGAAGTAGAGTGTAGAACAGTGTCTTTGTAAACACACTGCCAATCAGCCTTCGTGTTCCCAGAGACTGGGCCCAGTAATTCAAAGCGTTTGGTTATGTCTAAGAAGCTTCCATAACGTTGCCTCCTGTGTACTCCAACACAGTCATGGATAGACTTGCATACCCTCTACCAGACTGGCATAGATTCATGGGCAGACTCCTATTCTCCCTTTCCCACCTGTTCAGCCGGCGTCGTGTCTAGCCAAGCAGCTACTTGGAGATCTATGATTGCAGGACTGTAAACATCACCGTAATTGCTTCTATTGCCTTTAACTCTTAGATACTTCCCACTCGCTTCCCCTACCTCCATCACCCCTCCCGCCCTGGCTCCTCCTCATTGTATATTATGAGGCTGTGAATCTTAAGGGGGAACAGGGAAGGCTCTCTAAGACATCTTAAATACGCTCAGTTAAGGTATATAGGGAGATTCCTCCAGCTCCAAAATATCGCCAGTGTCTTTCTCCAAATAGGAAAAGCCCATCATATTAATGCATGTATCCAAAATGCATAGTGGCCCCTGGAGCCCCCAGATAGCATGCATGCTTATTACCTAAATTGGATAATGAAGAGTGTTATTATATTAGGATTCCCTGTTGGTGACAAGAGGTTTGTTTATCATGATAAAACTGGGCCCAGATGACTGGGAATGTGTAGCTGACAGTGTTTGTGCTTTGTCGTCTTCTGCCGCAAATGTGCATCACGGGTTGAAGAGAAAAGCGAGAGAGATTTCCTTCTACACCCAAGAAAGGGCATTGAAAAGGGTCTAAGGTAGATAAAAAGGGAAGTGGGAAAGATTAGAACATTCAGTCACAAAACAAGTCTTATCCCTGACTTGAATCTGAGCCAGAAATTACAGATCTTGTCAGAAGCTGAGCTCCCCAGGGTTGAATGGGGACCAGTGTGGGGAAAGGCAGGAAGAAGGATCGAAGTATACCTTCAGAGCACTTAGAGCAGCGGTTCTCAACCTGTAGGTGGCCACCCCTTTGGGGGTCGAATGACCCTTTTACAGGGGTCGCCCGATTCATTGCAGTAGCAAAACTACAGTTATGAAGTAGTAATGAAAATGCTAAAGGGTCAAGGCATTAGGAAGGTTGAGAACCAGTGACTTAGAGAGTTCAGAGGGGAGCCTAGCAGGTAGTCAGTGGTTCTGAGATAGAAGAAAGGCCGGGAGATATACTCCTATTGTCATCCTGTCAGTGCTGACCCATAGCCACCTCCCTGTGGGTTTCTGAGACTGTAACTCTTTATGGGAGTAGAAAGCCCAGTCTGTCTTTCTCGGAGTTGCTGGTGGTTTCAATCTGCCGACCCTACGGATTACAGCCCTACTCGTAACCACTGCACCACCAGAGTCCTTATGCTCTTATAAAGAAAAGAATCCTATGGGGCAATCTACTCTGTCTTATAGGATCATTAAGAGGCTGAATCAATGCCAAGAGTCTCTCTCTCTCTCTCTCTCTCTCTCTCTCACACACACACACACACACACACACACACACACTAATGCTCACACTTCTCATTGTACTGCTTGCTCTTGTTCCAACTGGGCCTTTGCTTGCCCCTCTTGGCCCTCCACCCCCAGTCCATTTTCTGGTCCACACCCTTCCCGGTAGCCAGAGGACATGTGCTGCGGGAGCCAAACACACCTGCTCTGAAGTTCCTGTCTTGCCTCATAGCAGTTGTGGGACTTTGTACTGGTCAACCTGCTGAAACCTCTGTTTTCCGGAGGCACCTTTCAGAGCACCGAGGATTCAGAAACACCTGGAAGTAACAGTGTGGAAACAGCCACCTGGATTTTATGATGCCTGAGAATGTATGAATGAGAAAGAGAGGGAGCCATCACAAAGATGATTCAGCTGTTAGGGTCAATGGTGGGAGTCCTGGTGGCACCGCGGTGGGGGTGGAGGTGGGAGGGGGGTCAGGATTGGGCTGCTAACCCCAGGGTGATCAGTTCAAATGCACCAGTCTCTCTGAGAGAGAAAGAGGAGGCTCTGCTCCCCTAAGGACTGACAGCCTCAGAAACCTTACACAGGTTTGATCTTGGGTTTGCTTGGTTATCTCTCAAAGGTTTAACTGAGGCTGTCCGGGAAAACTGTGTGAATTCTAGAAGCAGGGTGGTGGCGAGGGGGATTCTGAAAGAAAACAAGCCTTTATTAACATGGTAAAATGCTTACATTCCAAGCCGAGGACCTGAGTTAGATTCCTGACCAACCAGCCTCATGGGCGAGGCTTGCGTATTGTTAAGATTATGAGCAAGTTTAAGCAGACCTTCCAGACTAAGACGAAGAAGAAAAGCATGGGAAATCTAGTCCCCCAAATCAGCCATTGAAACCCCCCAGGATCACAATGGGTTGAGCCACAACGGATCATGAGCTTGGCACAAAGCTGGAAATGCTCCACTGTGCGTGAGGTTACCACGAGCCAGCTGGAAGCAGATGACCGCATCATACCGTTGGTACATAGATAGGAAAATATATAACTTGGCACGGCAGAGTCCCCACCCTTAGGCGCTCTGCATTTTAGTTTGTGGGAAAAATATCCCCAAGGGACATGACCCCCCTCCCCCCATATGTTTGAATGAACGTGTATGTCACTGAAGGTTCCATGTCTGCTTCAACTTTAGGTTTCCTCTTGATTCTAGTCCAGAGATCAGCATTTAAATCAGAGAGGTAAGGAGGGTTGTTAAAGGCACGCGTCTTCACGCTCGCTTTTCTTTAAGTTTGTTAAGACGCAGATTCTGCATAGTGACACAGCCCATCTCAACAAATGAAATCAAGAATAATACCGTTAAACCTTTCCTCAATGGGGTTCTTCTCTCTTCCTCTCCCTCCCCAATGAAAATGATTTGAGGGGCATAGCAACACAAACATCAGCTTCCTGGGCAAAATAACAAGCCAGGTTCAGTCCAGGCACCTAAGACTTCTAAGGACAAAGATGTGATAGCTCTTTGGGAAGGGCTTTTTGGGGGTGGCCAGTGGATCAGGAACAGTTTTGTATTGGGTCCCAAATAATATGGTAAAATTTGACTGCTAGCTGCCTTGCATCTAACGGGAATGAAATTGACCAAGTCCCAAGGTGGGCTCTCAGTAAATTATGTGTTCAGAGGTGGTGAAGGTTAACTGGGTAAGCCTTGGCAGGAGTAGGGGATAATCCGATAGACAACTGAAGGAGGACTGAGATTTAGGATCTAAGAAAACCTGAATTACAAACCCCTGAAATGTCATGAAAGTATTAATAACATCTCGCTTTATGTGCAAAATGTGAAATGCCTCTATATAAAGTGGGCTGGGAGGAGGGGTTGGGGAAGGAGGGCAGAAAGCAGGATTTCCACCTCGGGGTCTGGGGAAATGGATAATAACGTCTGGTGCTATGACTTCCATGTGCCGTGCTGCCACCACTTCGGTGTGCAAACCCAAGTCCCTGATTTTCTTCAGACTCAAATGATCCCACTCTGGAACTGTGAGAACTCTTTATTTGCTCAGGTGAAAGGTGATCACGCACACCTGGAGAAGCAGCTGGGCGCACTCCCCTCTCTCCCTCTGCTTCCCAGTCCCCCCACCATGGCCTTTCTTCAAAATGTCCCAGCCCACTGTTTCTGCCCCTCCACCTTCTACCAATCCCTTCAGCAACCTTTTCTCAGGCCCCTCTCTCCTCTTCCAGGGCCAGAGGCTCAGGGACAGGGGACACATTAGCCCATGGGGACTAACCGCTCTCCTTTGGGGTTACTCCCTTCGCTGGGGACCAAAGAGAGTGCAAGGCACATGAGGGAGAGGACCCACAGGGAAAGATGGGGTGTGCTCTGAGCCAGGCATTCTAGGCCCTCCCTCAGCGTGAGCTTGCTTCAAGGAGGAGAGCCTGGTCATCTTTCTCTGACGGATCCTCTTCCTGCAGTAACTTGTACAGGGGCCCCGGAGGGCTGGTGTGATACGGAGCCTCTCTGAAACCTGTCGCCTTCAAGCCAGCACTGTCACAACGATACCAGAAGACAGAGAAGCCGTAGATCCCTAACAGACACGAGGCGTTGACCATCACATGCCAGCAGAAGAACGTGGTGACAAACATAATGTCGCTTATGTCATCGTCCTGCCACGGGTAGCTGGAGACTGGCTTGAAAAGGATAAAGCCTGCCTGCATCAGCCAGGAGCCCATCATCAGAAACAGAAAGGTCTCCATCAGCCAGAGGTGAACCGTGTCGGGAGCCCACAGCTCTGCCGTCAACACCAGCACCAGCAGGAAGACCACCAGGACGAGCAGGGCGTGGACCTGCAGCTCCACCCCTGCTGTGCCCTGCGTGTGCGACAGCAGCAGCAGCAGGAGCACGTGGAAGGCCAGCATGCGGACGCCCAGCTCCAGGACCACACTCCGCTGGGGCAGCAGGTTCTTGCTCACGATGTCTACACAGCCACTGAGGGTGAGGAGGATGAACATGGTGAGGTGCTGCCACTCCTTGGGGTGCATGAACCTGGGTGGCATGTCTCTATTCATCAATACCAACCCTCCTGGCACACAGCTGATCTCAAACACGATCAAGATGGAGCCAGTCACTGTCTTCAGCAACCCTCCGTAGGAGATTTTCCACAGCAAGGCCCATCTTCCCTGACCCCTGGAAGGGGATGAAGGGTACAGGAGAGAGGTGTTGAATAGCGCGGCTTTGGAAACCACTATTGTCTGATGCAGTCCGTATAAGAACAGAAACAGCCCAGGGTACACGTGCCCGATAAAGTTCCCCATCAAACTACAGGCCTGTCTAACACGGCCACACGCCTGGGTTCACCTCAAGGTCTGGCCTTTGAAGAGAACTGCCTTCCCCTACTTTTATCACCTCCCCCTGCCCACGGAGAGGAAATGGCCTTGAGACACACCCACAGTGTGGTGAGGTCCGGTCTCGGGTCTCATTCCATTCTGGGACACTGGAAATGCTCTGGCTTCTGCCTCAGAAGGAACTGGATGAAGGTGCGCTCTGCTCTTTGACCCTGGAAGCTGCCTCTGGACACACCGACCCCTCCTTTCAATGGCTTTCCTCATCGTTTTCTTTCCAGGGTTCAGAGAAGAGGAGGGTACATGAACAGGGGCTGCAGCAAGGGTGGCGGTGGTGCTGGGGCTGGTTACCTGGAATCCCAGGGCTACCCACTATCCCTGTGTACCCTTCAACGTTCCTCAACGTACCTTTAGAGCAAGTTGAAGGACCAGCATTTCCTTTCTGGATGTACAAAGTCATGACCATATATTACATATTCATCTTCTATCCGGCTTTTCTAGTTTTTGGTGACATGCATTTGAAGAACGCCAAGAAGACTCCCCTCGGCACCCCCACCCCCTACCATATATACACCCTCCTCACGTTGGAATCTCCTCTGGCCAGCAAATGCATCTGAGAAGCGGTCTTTTTGAGATTCATCTCTTTTAGGGGCTTAGTGGCATTTTCCACATCTACCCAATCATCTGCATCGCAGAATCCCTTTCCTTATATAGTTCCGAGTCAGAGTTGACCAAAAGAGCATTTGGGGTGAGAATGTGAAGGTGGCAGGGGAGCAGCGGTTCAAATTCACCCTGACGTTGCGGGGAAGACACCGGGCCCCGCTGCACTGTGTGCATGTAGTGGCACCTCTGCTGGCTCACCTCGTTGGCCTGTTTACTCCAGCCTCCCTTCGAGTACAGGCCCCCGGCTTCTTCGGCAGGTCACTTATGTCATTGAGGTGTGAGATGGGGGAGCCACAGCCTCTCCTCCTGAGTGCAGTGTGTCCTTGTGCTTCTCTGTTTCGGGGAAAGCATTCGAAGCATGAGGTGATACTACTGCATGGTTTACCATCTGGAAAGGAGGGCCCCAGGGCTGCATCCTCTCACCATTCTCATTCAGTCTGTATGCTGAGAAATCATCCGAGAGACGGACCTAACGCGACACCGAGCTTGGCAAAAGGCTTATTAACAATGTGCAGATAACACACCTTTGCTTGCTGAAAGTGAGGCCCTTCCTGGTGGACATCAAGCATCGTAGACTCCAGTATGGATTACAGCTCCGTTTAAAGGAAACAAAGAGCCTCACGACTAGAGCAATAGATAACACCATGCTGGATGGAGAACATGTTGAAGTTGTCAAGGATTTGGTCTGTCTTGGATCCATAATCAGCGTCCATGAAAGCCACAGTCCAGAGGTCGGACAATGTACTGCTCTGGGTAAATCTGCTGCCTGAGACCTCTTCAATGTGTTGAAGAACAAGGATGTCACTTTGAGGACTAAGGTGTGCCTGACGCAAGCCCTGGTATTCTCCATGGCCTTGGGTGTATGTGAATGTCGAACATTGAATAAGGAGGACTGAAGAATTGATGACTCTGAACGGTGGTGCTGATGAACCGCATTGAAAGCACTGTGGGCTGCCGAGAGAACAAACAAATCTGTCTTGAAAGAAGTAGAGACAGAAACGTCCTTAGAAGTGAGCATGACGAGACTTCAGCTCATGTGCCCTGGATGACCAGTCCCCGGGAAAGAACACTATGCCTGGTAACGTCAAAGGGCAGGGAAAAGGAAGACCCTGGACGAGGCGGGTTGGCACTGGCTGCAAGAATGGGCGTCAGCCTAACAACAATCAGGATGGTGCCCGCCTGGGTCGACAATGCTTTGTTCACAGCGTCGCCTTAAACAGCGACAACATTCTTCCTGACTGCTGCCACATTGACCTGGAATGACCTCAGGCCAACCATGTGGCAGTGGAAGCAATGTTCTTTCCAAGTCCCACAAATGTGTAGGATCTAACCGCCATGTAAAAGCCATGTTCCGTCTCACTCATTCCATCTCACTCAGATGTAAGGATCCACCCCTAATTGATATTGGGGACCAAGGTATAATTCCTGCTTAATATGTAGATACCGTTGAGAAGAGCAAGTACCGTGAGTTAATCTCGGCCATTTACATTTAACATGGATTCGTTTATCAGATTTGTTGGTCACTTATTTCCCAACTAGCATCGTAATGGAGAGGTCCTGGTGGCCCAGGAGTTAAGCACTCGGCTGACAACCCATAGGTTGGTGATTCCAGCTCACTGATTGCTCTGCATAGAAGTACGAGGTAGTCTGCTTCCATCAAGACTGACATTCAGGGATAGCATGGGGAAGCTCTGCTCTATCTTATAGGGTCACTGAGTCAAAATTGACTCAGTGGTAGTGGGTTTGACCTTTTCAGTTGTGTTTAATGTATCTAGAAAGGAAGAATCTTAGTTATCGTATGACCGCCCGCTAGTATAGGCCAAGGGGATTGAGGAGGACAGCTTGCAGGAAACGGCAGGCATGCCCTGGGATCATGAACCCAAGTTCTGCGTTTTTTGCAGCAGGCACAGGGACTAGGACTTTCTCTAGGAGAAGTAAGCTTGCTGAAGGGTGAGGAAGTTCATCATTCAATATGAACTGCTATGCAGTCTAGGATAGGTAAAACGCGAGAGACATTAACAGGATTAATGGCGTCTTGCAGATACGACAGGGGAGGATGGGGAAACATTGGGAGCTAATAGTACAAGATCGGAGCCAGTGTTCTAAAACTGATTGTGATGCTGACTCTTCTTGATGTGCTTGAACTATTGAATTATATGATACATGAATTATATGCCAATAAAACGGTGTGTAAAAAAATCATGAACTGCTGATTTCGGTTTTCTGTGTCACATCTATTCTCATGGTGTAAGCAACGCTGTGGGGGCAGAGAGGCAGCACCTGCATGCTGACAGTGCTCCCAGCCGAGAGGAGGCAGTTTACACCCAGAGCCCAGCACTGCCTGTGAGCCCACGTTCTCATCCGAGCATCTACTCTCTCTCCAGGCCGCTTGATCGCCTCTTGCTCTCGAGAGAATGAGTGGGATGGGGGTGTGAGTGTGAAGGCATGTGGACAAACAGAAGCCGTAGTTCTGCTTTCTGAAGGAACCTCCTTTGCTTAATTTAAAATGTTAATGTTAGGAGTTTTTATTTTAATAGAGTATAGCCACTGCGGAAAAAAATAGGTGAAAAATACATGCACCAAAAGAAGAGCGTTCATATCCCTTGTAATTCCACAACTGGGAGGTGACCATTATTGCCAGTGTTTTAGGGTACAAAAGAGACACCAAATCTCAAATATAATTTAAGGAGGACATTTGTTAAGCCGTAAACAGGACAAAGACAGATGGATAATGGAGGTCACCAGCACGAGGTCATACCGGCATCCAAGGGTTTGCTGAGACACCAAGCAGTCAAAAAGGACCTGGGAGGGCAAGGAAACCACACCAAAAGCATGATTGGTGTCAGATCAGTAAATCAGAGCTACAGGTAGGGCTGGAGCCGTGGCTGGGGTGCACACATTGTGTTAGAAGAGCCTTCAAGATTGGTCCAGGTTTTCCAACCCAGACAGTCAGGGCATGATGGAGAGGGCATGACTTCTGCCCCCAGGACAGTAATTTCCATCAGGGAAGCTCCTACAAGAGACTGGCCCTTGCTGGGCTGTGTGGGTGAGGTAGAGGTAATCCACTCTCTAATGTATTCCGTCCAAGGGCTAGACTATTCACATCCTTAGTTCATGGTCAGGAGGAAGTCAGTGGAGGCGTAATCCATGGGGGGACTCTGCAAATGGAACCGGGGCTCTCACTGTCATCCACAGCCTTCTGCAAACCCGGTGCTGACAATTTAAGCTCTGAGACACCAACGAGGTGAAGAAACACTTAGAAAAGGGAGCAGGAGGCTGAGAAGAACACATACAATGGGAGTAAGGAAATCTGGACCTCACCTTCCAGTTCTCCCTTGGTTTATCATGCCCCTTACATACCAAATAAGAAGCCCTGGAGGCATAGTGGTTACCTATTGGGCTGTGATCCATAAGGTCAGCAGTTCGAAACCATTAGCTGCTCCATGAGACAGATGAGGCTTCTACTCCCGTGAAGCTACCATCTTAGAAACTCACCTGCCCTTTAGGGTCTCAGAGTCAGCGCTCCTTCGGTGGCAGTGAGTGAGTATGGTATATGCCAAATGAGAGGAGCCCTTGCTTTGGAGTGGTTACACCTTGGGCTGGTAACTGCAAGGTCAACAGTTCAAAACTGCCAGCTACTCTTTGGGGAAAAAAATGAGGCTTCCCATTCCAGTAAAGAGTAAGAATCTCAGAAACCCATAGGGTCAGTTGTACCCTGATCTGTAGAGCTGACACGGGTCAGAATTGACTCTACAGCAGTAGGTTTTGTTTGTTTTTGTTTTTTTAATCTGCCAAATGAGTGTCGCCGGCCCCACTTTTCTCTAAAACGAAGACGACAGCAGTGTGCGTGTGGATCCCCTCTCTTCCTTTGGGTGAGCTAACAAGACCAGAGAAGCACTGAATGCTCTGAGGCAGGAGATGCCGAAGGCAGGACGCCCTTCTGAGGCTAGTCAGAGCCTGAGGCCAGCTAGCCTGAGGCAGTCCCCTTCGGTCTTGGCTTCATTCCTCCAATATCAGATAGTAGGGCCGGCCGGGCAGCTTGTGGTCTGCAGGCTTCAAAGAGGGACTGCACTTGGTCCCTCTTAATGTTGTTTTGAAGAACCCCTGGTGGTGCAGCGGTTAAGTGCTCAGCTGCAAACTGAAGGGTTGATGGTTGGAACCCATCTGGAGGCTCGGCGGGGCTCCCATTACTATTTCAGTCGGGAATCCCTGAGGAATGAGTTCACCTCTGTCACACAGGCCGCTAGGAGTTGGAATCAACTCCCCTGCACCCAGCAACCACAATCATGCTGCTTCCAGCAATCTGGGAC